CTCGTGCAGATTTCTGTGAAAGTGCAATTAAAATGCGTGGAGGAAGAGTGGCCCTATGAGGGCAGCTCTGTGCTCCGGAGTTACTCAGCCTCTTTGTGCGCAGAGCGGAGGCGCGGAACGACCCGGTGTTGTCATTTTTTCAGCTGTGAAGCAGTAAAACAGCTTTCTCCTCGTCGTTTTTGGCAAGCAGCTGCTGAAAGCAGCCTGGGAAGCTTGCTGGCCTCCGGATCGCTTGCACGGTCTCTAAAGGCAAAAGGGAAGAAACCCAATACGCAGTGCCCTTTGCAGGAACGTCCCCAGGCGCCTCGGTGTGTACTACTAGCACAGGCGAGCACGTCTGTGGTTTCTGGTTCCAGCCCGAGCTGCTGAGCCCTGGGAGGAAAGGGAAGGTGACGGTGGGTTGGTGGTCACTGCTAGAGCAGGAGGCCCCTGTGAAATACCGGGTTTGCGCAGTGCGTGCGGAGGTGCAGGCTGGCCCCAGGGAGTGCTTTCTGCTCGCCTCAGCCCCATTTATCTCTCAGTCTCTGAAAAAGCAAACTGAAAAGCCAAACAGAGCCGAAGCCTTAGGAAGGCAGCGGTCCCGGAAGCTCGTGCGGGAAGTGGTGTAGGCAAGGCCTAGGGGAGCAGACCGAGCCCAGTTTCATGCTGTGACAGTTTTTCATGCAGCTCTTCTGCCAGCATGCACCACGTGAGGAGCAGAGTCCAAAGTGCAGCGCTGCTCTTAAACACAGCTATATATTTAGTGAAATCGGGCCGCCTGCTCTTGACAACAGATGGTGGCCCATAAACACCCGAATCTCTAGTGCGTCCGGATGCTTGGCTCGGCCTGAGCGAGCTGCACTGGTAGCAGGGTCAGGGAGCCGCTCCTGCGCTCGGCATCGCTGCGCGGGCGCGCGCCGAGCTCCGAGCCCCGGCGCGCTGGAGCACACGGGCTCCCTGCAGCCCGGCGTCGGGGCGTGCGGTGCTCCGGCATCCCTGACACTCCTGCTCTTCCCTGTGCCACCGTTTCTCCTCTCAGGCGCTCTCCGGCCCCCACTACTACACGTGGGGCGATCACGGCGGCATCCTGGTGGCGATCGCGCAGGGCACCGAGACCGACCAGCTCAAGTAAGTGACCCGGCGCGGCAGGACCCGGCGCGGCGGCACCCGGCCGGGCTTTGCTCGTGCCCCGCGTCCCTGGCGTGCTCGAGGACTTGCCTTTGCAGCCGTCTCCATCTTCCTGCTCCAGGTACAGCACGAATGAAGGGGAGACATGGAAGACGTTCACCTTCTCGGAGAAGCCGGTGTTCGTGTACGGCCTGCTCACCGAGCCGGGGGAGAAAAGCACCGTATTCACCATCTTTGGCTCGTACAAGGAGAACGGGCACAGCTGGTTGATCCTGCAGATCAACACCACCGATGTGCTGGGTAAGGGGCCGGGTGGCGGAGCCCTCGGCGACACAGGGCTGTTCTCCAGCCCCAGCTTTGCACGCTGGACGTGCAGAGAGCATTGGCTGAAAAGCAGCCCAGCCCCAGGCATCACCCCAGACACTGCTGAGACCTCCTCGTGTCCCCTCTGGAGGCCTCAGGTCCCTTTTGTAGCCACCAAGCCCCAAGGAGGGGGCTGCTGAAGGCATTGCACCCTCTGCCCTCTTGTCACCCCGGGATTTGGTAAAAAGGAAATGGAATAACAACAAAAATCCCTTCTGAATGCATGTGCCCATGAATGTTTTGTAGCAGACGTGAGCTCTGATTGCAAAGCAGCATTTTAACCAAAGAGCAGCTAGAGGCAGCCTTTCGCTCCCCCACCTTTGCCACTTCTCCTAGGGGTGCCTTGCACGGAAAACGACTACAAGCTCTGGTCCCCCTCCGACGAGCGGGGCAATGAGTGCTTGCTGGGGCATAAAACAGTCTTCAAGAGGAGGACTCCTCACGCGACGTGTTTCAATGGGGAAGATTTCGACAGGCCTGTCATGGTCTCCAACTGCTCCTGTACAAGGGAAGACTTTGAATGGTAAATACCAATTCATTTCTTTGCGTCCGGACTGTAACGCTGAGATAAATATCTGTGACCAACCTCACAAAGCGAACAAACATCCAGTTTACTTGGCTCTTTTTACCACTGCTTGATTTTATAGCGAAGAGGAAACCAAACAGACTGAAAACATCCTTTCATTAATAACAGGGCATGAGACTTAATTAGCGTCTTCAGAGCCGTATGGGAGCCTCTGAAAGGTTCTATAGAGGAGCAAAGTATTATGAATCCATCACCTTCTTCCAAGCGATGCAGGATGATTTCCCATCGCACAGAGACCTCCCGCTGCCTCCTGCGAGGCAGCTGCTCCTGCTACAGCATTTTGCTAAAATTCACCCCTTAGCGAGGGCCGTGCAGCCCTCAGGCGAGGCAGCCCTGCCTTGGCAGCCGAATGCAGAGCTTCGGCGTTACCTCGGGAACTGCTTTTCAGGGACCGAGCTCAAGGCCAGAGCGCCGGTGGGAGCTAATTTCTACTGGAGAGGCAAAGCCCTGGAGTGGCTGCAGAGTCAGCCTGACGTGACCTTTTCCAGAGCCTTTTCCAGAGAAGAAAAGTGCTGTAACACCCCTTTTAAAGCTGGGCAAAACGGAGGCACACCCCAGTGAAACAAGACGGCGAGCGGGAGAGCCGGGGCTCGAAGCCAGCCCTGCAGCGGGCGCTGGCTCCGTATGTGCTGCCTCATTTACCCTATTCTGCCCGGTCGCCAGGAAACCCGTTTGCAAAGTGCTTTTGTATCATCTTGGTGGAAGAAGCTGCTTGACTGTAGGATTCCATACTGATAATGACCTTCTGAGATGCTTTGTGGACTTAAAATTTGATTGCAAAAATAGCAGATAGTCTCGCTTGGTGCATCTGTCCCTTCTTTCCCATCCCTCCTTACATCATTCTTCTCTTGGCAGTGACTTTGGCTTTAAACTGAGCGAGGACTTAGCACTAGAAGTTTGCGTCCCCGACCCCGAGTTTGCTGGAAAACCGTATGAGCCGCCAGTACCCTGCCCTGTTGGCTCCACTTACAGGAAGACACGAGGGTACGTGTTATCCCTGGGAAGGGAACCTGACCTCCAGAATCCTGAGATTTATGCTCCTGGTGTTAAAAAACACATCAAGCGGCAGCTAATGGGGATGCATGTGCAGCCATATCGCATTGCAATGCTTAATTCTAATTAAGAACCAGCGGGTGATCTAGCTGCCCGTGATGTTATATTAGCAGTTTCCCTTGGATTAAGCCGCCCGCTGTGTGTGTTGCAGCTACCGGAAGATCTCTGGGGACACGTGCGCAGGGGGAGACATCGAAGCGCGTCTGGAAGGGGAGCTGGTGCCCTGCCCGCTCGCTGGTGAGTGCCCGCAGGACACGCTCGGCCACGACGCCTCCATTCCTCGCGTCCTGGAGGCAAATTCCCAGGGGCTCCCTGGGGAGAAGCTGCAGAGCGACAGCTAAAAATGCCTCCATCGATTAGCAAAAAAAAAAAGAAAAGGAAAAGTGCATTATCCCCTGCCCTCCCTAGGGAAACCCATGTGCACGTAGTCCGCAGAGAGGTGGCACTATATGCAGCAGAATGACAGGCACTGGGGACTGGACTAGCCGTGCGTGCTGGCACACACATGCCCTGCAAGGCACAGGAGGACGCCAGCACCTCCTTCCCCTTCCTCCTCCTCCTCCTCCCTGCACGTCCCAGGCACCCAAGTGGTTTCGTGCCCCCAGCGCTATTTGCATTCTGCTCGCGAAGCTGTAATGCGACGTGCCGTCGCGAGCGGCGTGATTAGCATGCCGCTGCGCCGAAGCGGGAGGCTGCCGCGAGCCGCGGCCTCGGGAAAGCAGCCTCAGAGCCTGCAAAGGGCTCTGCTGCCCGTAAATAACCCTACGGCCACCACCCGGCAGCGGTTCCTGCAGGAAAGGTGCCCTTGCAAAGCTTCCAGCACACACCTCCCGCATGGGAGCTGCAGGAGCAGACCCGCATTTTGTTGTTCCCTGCCAGAACGCGAGTGGAACGAGGCAAAGCAGTTCTTGCTGTTCCTGCCTCCTCTCCCAGCGTCTGCAGCAAACAACAGCAGCAGTGTTTTCCTGGCGCATGGGAGAACAAGGGACCCTAGCAGGCTATTAGCGTTTCCTAATTAACCTAATCCTGTCGAGACAAAGGCCCTTTGCCTCCCTAGCACCGAGGGGCTCACACGCAGAGGTGCTAAAACCCACAGCGGGGATGGCGGGGGGAAATCCCAGCTCTTTGCTAAGGCACAACGTGCGCGCGGTGCCCGCAGAGGAGAACGAGTTCATCCTGTACGCGACACGCTACTCCATCCACCGCTACGACCTGACCTCGGGCGTCAGCGAGGAGCTGCCCCTGGCCGGGCTGCGCGGCGCCGTCGCCCTCGACTTCGACTACGAGCGCAACTGCTTGTACTGGGCCGACGTCACCCTGGACATCATACAGGTGAGCAGGGCGCTGCACGCTCACACCGTGCCGCACCATGTCCCACCATGCCCCATAGCATAAGGGCCATTGCCACATGACTGAGCTTCACACACACAACCCGTCTTAGAAACCTATCTCAACCAGGTTTGTCCCCAGGTTCTTTCCTAACGTGCATGCTCTTCAAGCCAGTGAGTTTCCCATCAACTTTCAGTGCCATTGTTAGCCCAAAATTCCTCCTATTCCTCCCTGCTCCGGCCGCCTGTCACCTGCGTCACTGCCACCTTGCACTGTGGATGCAGGTGCAGGGCAGTGGGGCTGTAAGCACAGAAGGGCTTTGAAATTTGAGCTCTTGTTTTAGGTATTTTTGCCTTTGCGAGCTTCCTGTTAAGGCTTCCTGGCATACCTGACTGCTAACCTCGAGGCTCTGAGAGTTTCCTGTTTATTTTTCTTCCTTTTTTTTTTTTTTTTAGCGTCTTTGTCTCAATGGCAGCTCCGGGCAAGAAATAATTGTAAGCACTGGCCTGGAAAAAGTGGAGGCTTTGGCCTTTGAACCTCTCAGTCAGCTGCTTTATTGGGTTAATGCCGGGATTCCAAAAATTGAGGTATGTCTACAACCACCAGTGCTAAACCAGATGCCTTCGCCTCTGTGCATCTATCTGGGTGTCACTACGGGGTCTCAATGCTGGTGTGTCATTACTGACCCTCCTTCTTTGTCACTACTGCAGGTTGCCAATCCAGATGGAGACTTGCGATTTACTGTCCTCAACTCCTCAATTCTGGAGCGCCCCAGAGCCCTGGCTCTGGTTCCCCGGGAAGGGTAAGCAATAGATCTCCATGACTAGCAAGGAGGGAGTCCAAGACTGGCAGCTGCTTTCTGCTTCAATCCATCTGCTCTTCTCATACCTGTACATTTCCACTGGTGATAATTTTTCCTGCTGGTAAAACTGGTCTGGTCGGTGGGATGTGAAGAGTTGTGCTGTGCTCAAATCCGAGAACCAAAGGAGGGGTTTACCTTTTTTTTTTTGGCTTTTTGGACTTCTGAAGTGTTCACATCCCTGCTTTACAACCTGTCTCCTTGTGCTGAGCAGTTTCACCACCATTTTCACGTTATCCGGCTCTCACCAGGCTGATGTTCTGGACCGACTGGGGAGACTCCCGGCCCGGCATTTACAGAAGCGACATGGACGGCTCGTCGGCCGGCTGCATCGTTGCCGAGGGCGTGCGGTGGCCCAACGGCATCTCCGTGGACGACCACTGGATCTACTGGACGGAGGCCTATATGGACAGGATCGAGAGGGTCAACTTCAACGGCCTCCAGCGATCCGTGATCCTCGACAGCCTCCCTCACCCCTACGCCATCGCTGTGTTTAAGGTACTTATGCAGGGCTTCTTCTTAAGTGGATAGAGATGCACACAGTGTCTGCGGTCTTAGGCAGGGGATTGGGCTTGAGGAGCGTTTAGAGCGCTGGATCCGGCTCCCGGGAGCAAGCGGGTGATGCCCTGAGGACCCCCTTGCTCTAAGGAGCGGAGCTTGTGTTCCAGAACGAAATCTACTGGAACGACTGGTCGCAGCTGAGCATTTTTAGAGCATCCAAAAACAGTGGCTCTGGAATGGAGATTTTAGTCGGGCGATTAAACGGCATCATGGACATGAAGATATTCTACAGAGGAAAGACGACAGGTACCTTGAATGCACGTGCAAGTGATCTTTCCTCAGGATACGGTGTCCGGCTGAAGGCTCGGGTGCAGGGATCCCCGTGTGATGCATCACTCGCTTTTGGGTTGGGTTTAAAAATCAGCGCTATGAGAGACTGGGAAGTCCATTAAGGCCCTCAGGCTCTTTGGCAGCAAAAAGCTCTTTGCATTTGTGACTGCGTGGAGCAATGCACTAGGTAAATCCGGGTGTCCTACTGCATCCCCGTGTCCTCACGGAGTCCCCTCACCCTGGCCAGGGGAGAACGCCTGCATCGCCAAGCCCTGCAGCCTGCTCTGCCTGCCCAAGTCCAACAACGGCCGGAGCTGCAGGTGTCCCGAGGGCGTTCCCAGCACCACGCTGCCTTCCGGGGAGGTCCGCTGCGACTGTCCTCGCGGCTACGTCATGAGGAACAGCACCTGCGTCAAGGAAGGTACCTCCGTGCTGCCTTCTCCGTGCTGGGAGGCAGCGTGAGCTCCCCTGCTGCCTCCGCTCCGAGGGGGCAGCCCTGTGACTAACACCCAACCCTTTTCTTCCTCCTCTGCACCAGAAAACACCTGCCTGCCGAACCAGTACAGATGCTCCAATGGGAACTGCATAAACAGCATTTGGCAGTGTGACAACGATAACGACTGTGGGGACATGAGTGACGAGAAGAACTGCCGTAAGTGTCCCGGAATGGTGTCCCCCCATCTCCGCTTAGACACCTGCTGTGTCAGCATTGCACCGAGCTGCTCGTCCACACTCCCGCTATAGCTGCAGGGAGGGCACGAGTCCTCTCGTCCGAAGGGACACGTCCCAAATGCGTTGCATGGATTGCACCTGCAGGAGCCTGGCTTTCATCCTTGCCCAGCTTAGCCATACAGGTGTCAAGCTAGCAAGGAGTGATGCAGCTTTAGTGCATCCTGGAAAGAGGGCCAGGTTTCAAATCTGGAATCAGGAGAGAAGCGGACACTGGGAAGATGCTCTGTGTCCCATTTTGTACTTATCAAGAGGTCATTTTCCTGCTACCCTGAGAGAGCAGCCAAATGCAGCCTCTCCCGCTGGGCCGACCTCGTTATAGCAAGGAAGCAGCCGGAGCATCCCTGCCCTGCTGCCTGCGGCGCGCGGGCTAGCCGTAGCGCAAATCAAGCAATAGCAGTCGAGGCTGCGGACTCCGCGCCCGCGGTCCTGACCGCCTCTCGCCGCGTTGGCAGCCACGACGGTGTGCGACGCCGAGAGCCAGTTCCGCTGCCAGGGCTCGGGCACCTGCATCCCGCTCTCCTACAAGTGCGACCTGGAGGACGACTGCGGCGATAACAGCGACGAAACGCGCACCAGTGCAGAGGTGACGAGTTCAGCTGCAGCTCCGGCATGTGCATCCGCCTCTCCTGGATGTGCGACGGCGACAACGACTGCAGGGACTGGTCCGACGAAGCCAACTGCACCGGTGAGCTCTTCGGCACGGTCGCCGAGCTGCTGTTTGCTAGGGAGCGCGCCCACTGCATCCCGGGGATGGAAGTTAGCTCAGCAAGTGGCTCCTTACCTAATCACATTGTCCGAGTGGTTGGGGGAGCTAAGCTGGTGTTGTCCTGCGTTTACACCTCTCGTGCATCAAGTCTTACATCCCTGAGTCTGATTTTCTATTTGCCATAACTCTCAACCCTCCTTTGCAACGCAGTGCAAAACTGTGTCCCCGAGCTGCCTCCCAAGCTCCAACAGAGACCGTTTCCCCTGAGAGAAGCCAAAGGAAAACACATACCAATCTCTTCAATTAAAAATTCCCCCAAGTACTTTCTGGCTGTTGGTGCCGACTGCCGGAGCGGGGCACGAGGCTGAGGAGCATCCTTTGGGATCTCTGCACACTGCAGCCTCCGCCGAGTCTGCTTGTGGCAACAGAGGTTTTAAGCATTTCGCTGGGGATCCCGGTCGTTAGTATTCAGCGAGCGCAGCTATGTAAGGAGGTTTAATTTATATTGGTATCACTTATCTGTCATATGAGTTTCTCCAGAGAGAATTACTACAGGAACCTACTTCAAAAAGCATATCGGGTTTGTTAAGCTGAAAGTTGAAATTATCTAAGAGGATCACAATTATTTGAGAAACATTTCATCTGACTCCACCAGCTGCATTTATTGCTCTTATCTAAAATAATTACATTTCACACTGAATACCTAATAGAATATTACTGCCACAAGATTGTAGCATTTTGAAATATCTGCAAGCGCATGTCACCAGCGAACCTTAAATTCAGTGGCGTGCAATTTAATTATGCTGAACACTACTTTTCCTCTAGAGAATGATGAGTGCTCTCCTGACTGGAGAAGGGTATTCATTTTTAAAGGGACGCTACACGTTAGGCTTTGACCCATTTAGGCCCTCAGCAGTAACTTTCCCAACAGGAGCCTAAGGCAGGCCAGGGTCCTAATCCCGAGAGTTGTATTTAATTGGGATACGGCGGGGCATGGGCGCGCGGTGCGGGTGCGCTGCGGTGAGCCCGGCTCAGCGCCCGTGCGGCTCCGCTTGCAGCAGTGTCCCACACCTGCGAGGCCTCCAGCTTCCAGTGCCAGAACGGGCACTGCATCCCGCAGCGCTGGGCCTGCGACGGCGACGCCGACTGCCAGGACGGCTCCGACGAGGACCCTGCGACCTGCGGTAACGCGCGCGGGGCCCGGCTGGGGCAAAGCCAGCGGCACAAACTCGAGGAGGCAATTCCCGTCCCGCCGGGATGGATGCGGGCCGGGAATTTTGTTTAAGAGCAGCCCTATAAAACACAACTTCACTCAAATCTGAATTTCAGAGAAAAAGTGCAATGGCTTCCAGTGCCCCAATGGTACTTGCATCCCAACCAGCAAACACTGCGATGGCATCAACGACTGCTCCGACGCCTCGGACGAGCAGCACTGTGGTGAGTACCACGGCCGCGGGACCCGGCGGGAGCCCAGGAGCAAAAGGAGCGCGGGGAAGCCTGAGCTCACGCTCATGTGCTCCTCCGTGCTTGCTAGTGCAAGGCCAAGCAGATGGGATAGTGCAGGGACAGGAGGGCAGGCTATAGCGGGGACATGCCCAAATCATGCCCAACCGCTGGTACGGGATGCAGTACCGGGTGAGGCAGCATGCATGCACAGAAAGCTCGGACTGTTTGCCAGGGAAGCGTTCTGCACCATTACGAAAGGCACTGCCCTTCCCTGCCTTTCTGCACCCCCATCTCCGCAGAGCCCCTGTGCACCCGCTACATGGATTTCGTGTGCAAGAACCGGCAGCAGTGCCTGTTCCACTCCATGGTGTGCGACGGCATCGTCCAGTGCCGGGACGGGTCGGATGAGGACGCCAGCTACGCGGGATGCTGTAAGTGTGGCGGCACGCTCCTGCCTTGGACTAAGGCAGTCTGTGCAAAATGGGTCTGTGAAAAAATGTGCAAAATGTGGAAAAGGAAAGCAATGTTCAGAGGGGACTGCCTCACGCAGGTGCCCCAAAGCCAACAGGTCTCCTGAAAGGTAGCCCTGGGCTACCACGCTTGGCGTTTAAGTCCATCGCTGCCTTCTGGTGTGCTCCGTCCTCTCTCTAGCATGATGTGCCCCTAGCCCCTGTACTAGAGCAGCTGGCTGTGGGGTGGACAGCTCGGGACAGCTCTCATGTCCCCTGCAGCCCAGGACGCAGAGTTCCACCGCACCTGCGACCAGTTCAGCTTCCAGTGCCAGAACGGCGTGTGCATCAGCCTGGTGTGGAAGTGCGACGGCATGGACGACTGCGGCGACTACTCTGACGAAGCGAACTGTGGTGAGCCCCCTTCACGTTTACATACACCCCCGGGTATATACGTGTACGCCTACGGGCACATGTATAATGTTGCACTTGCACCCTGCACAATGCTTTACCTAGAGAGCAGCATCGCTGTCCTCGTATTACAGGAAGATCAAAGCACATGGAAAATCTGACACAGACAGCACAGATTGCAGCTAAGTCACACAGGAACCTATTTACCCCACAGATTCACAGCCCCAGGCAGCTTAGCCAAGCTCAGTATCGAGCAACGCTCCCTAGGCAGCATCGGGAGCTGCACACAGGCACCCCAGGCAGCGTGTGCCCCTTTCTGCACAGCTGTCTCGGTCTCTCAGGACTCATGGCGCTCTGCTCTCCTTGGCAGAAAACCCCACGGAGGCCCCCAACTGCTCCCGGTACTACCAGTTCCAGTGCGGCAACGGGCACTGCATCCCCAACAGGTGGAAGTGCGACGGCGAGAACGACTGCGGCGACTGGTCGGACGAGAGGGAGTGCGCGGGTAGGGCGGCGCGGGGCTCCCTCCCCGCTCGCGGGGCCGTCGGGCCGCTAGCAACAGGCCCGGCTCTCGCCGTTGTGGTTTTTAGGTTCTCCGGTTCTCCCCGTTTCCACACCGGTCCCTACCACGTGTCTGCCCAATCACTTCCGCTGCAACAGCGGGGCCTGCATCACCAACAGCTGGGTCTGCGACGGCTACAAGGACTGCGCCGACGGCTCCGACGAGGACGCCTGCCCTACTCTGCGTGAGCCCTTATTGTCCTTCGCCCCTTTCCCTTCTGCATCTGCAAGCGCTGCCACCTTCCCGTCTCCAGTGCTGTGGGTGATGCGTTCACAGGGCAACTTTTTGGCTCCCACCTCCGCTGCAGGTGCCAGCCAGGCCTGCTGTGCTCAGAGCTGGTGCAGGCCACCCCATTCCAGCACTACCAGTGCCCGCATCCCCCTTTCCTGGCTTTTCCAGCCCGCTGCAGTCAGGAGAGAGTAGGACTCGGAGACTTAGCGAACAAAATCCGAAGGCGCCGCATACCTGTTAGATGGGAAGATATTGCCATCTAGTGGAGCTGGGACCTGGGGACAGATGTGCTGGCAGCAGGGTGGCCTGACGGTGCGCAGTGCCCTTCCTCAGTGCACTCCTTCCTCTGCCAGGACCCAACGTGACGGCCACCTCCCCGGCGCTCGCAGGCCGCTGCGGCAGGTTCGAGTTCGAGTGCCCACAGCCACGCAAGTGCATCCCCAACTGGAAGCGGTGCGACGGCTCGCGGGACTGCCAGGACGGCGCCGACGAGAGGAGCTGCCGTAAGTGCCGCGGGAAGAGCTCGGCCGAGCTCTTTGCAAGGGCGCGTGCTCTGAACGGTCCCACTGCTGGGGGATTCCTGCAATCAAGGCAGTGTCACAGTTTAAAATAGCCCCCAAAGAGCGCCCATCCCCTTAGACAAGGCTGCTGTTCAAAACTCGGCTGCAGCACAGAAATGTCACACGCCTCGAGTGTCATGCCCCCAGGATGGTCTTGTGGGAAGTGCAGGACAGCGATTGCCTGGATTTTCACCAGGAAAGAGGAGGGATAGGCTCCAGGTTCTTTCTACAGTGGATGTGAGCATCCCGGGGGATGTAGCAAGACAGAAATCCAAAAGAGCCCCATTAATGACACCCTGTGTGAAACGCGGCCACCCTGGTACCAGCACAGCGCACCCAGCCACGACTCACACAACCTCTGCGCCTCCCACAGCCACCCGCAGCCCGCTGCCGTGCCCCAACGGCTACAAGTGCGAGGACGGCGAGGCCTGCCTCGTGCTGACGGAGCGCTGCGATGGCTACCTGGACTGCTCGGACGGCAGCGATGAGAGGAACTGCACCGGTAAGCAGCGGGAAGAGACCCTTCGGGAGCAGCTAGGACATCAGGGTTATGTGCCTGCCCTGAACAGCCTGCTCGTCTCCATCAGTAACACCCGCCTGAACTCTGTATTATCACACTGGGTGCTGCAAATACTCCCTTGAGCGCATATTGCTGTTTCTACCCTCTCATGCTGCCATGCGACACACTTAACTCTTGCTCCTGTTCTGTGTAAAGGCCTTCCTTTCCTCCAGTAAAACTGCTTTCCCTGCTGTCTGCCTAGATGACACAATCGTGTACAAAGTCCAGAACCTCCAGTGGACAGCTGATTTCTCCGGCGATGTCACATTGACCTGGGCTCGGCCAAAAAAGATGTCCTCGACCTCCTGTGTCTACAACGTGTATTACAGGTACACTGTGCGTTACAGACCCATTGCTATTTGCGTCGGAGAAAGGACGGGGGGAGCATGAGCATCAGTAACAGCATTCGCCTGTTTACAACCAAGTACCAAAATGGATCTGGTCTTGAAAGACTGTGAAATTTGCCATCCATTTCTACTTGAACATTTTTCTAATACTTTGTTACAAAGGAGACCCAAAATAGCTCTTTGTAAGGGATATTTGTGAAAAGCTCTCTGTTTTCTAGAGTGTTTACTTTGACAGTAGTATGGGCATATTCATTTTTTGTTTTCTGCTCGGGTCTTCTCTTTGTGGGATTGCTAACAATGAGAACAAAGTCTAGAAATTAGAGCGCAGCAGCGGTGGAAACCTCGGGGGACGGCGGCTCTAAGGCACTAAGCTATATTTAGTTTGTGCTTTGAAACGCTTCCTTTTCAAGTTGGTGGTGTGAAAAGGAAAGGAAGACACAAGTTCTGAAAACAGATAGTTCATCCTTTAGGAGCCGCTGAGCCCCCTCTGTCACTAAACCTCCTCCCGAGTGAAGTGCTTTGACTCTCGTGCAGGACAGTTGGCGAGAGCATTTGGAAGGTTTTGGAAACGCACAGCAACAAAACGAACAGCGTTTTGAAAGTTCTCAAGCCAGACTGCACCTACCAGGTGAAAGTCCAAGTGCAGTGCCTCAGCCGCGTGTACAACACCAACGACTTCATCACGCTGCGCGCACCCGAAGGACGTAAGCAGACCCGCGGGGACCTTCCCCTTGCCTCGTCCCTGCTAGAAAGTGGTGCAGAGGTAGCCCCTGGGCAAACAGAGAGGGTTCTTCCCCGATTCACGCTCCACCACTCAATTCTGCTTGCAAGAAACGAGATAATCTAGCTGCACGTTGAGGGTCAGGGTAAAGAAAAGATGAGGAAAAACACAGAAGACTCTCTGAGAGACCCTGTCCCACTTTCCCCGTTGCGGTCTGGACACGCTGACGTGGTAGCTGTGATGCTAATGCCTCTTTTTTTCCCCAGTACCAGTCAGGGTAAAGAAAAGATGAGGAAAAAGACAGAAGACCTCTGAGAGACCCTGTCCTGCTTTCCCCCTCGTGGTCTGGACACGCTGACGTGGTGGTAGCTGTGCTGCTAATGCCTCTGTTTCTTTTCCCAGTACCGGATGCTCCCTTTAACCTCCAGCTGTCCTTAAGAAAAGAAGCCGAGGGGGTGGTGACGTGCCGCTGGAGTCCTCCTGTGAACGCCCACGGGCTCATACGGGAATTCATCGTGAGTCCTGCTCGCGCCGGGGCCGCGCCAACACCAGACGTGGGGCACGAGCCCCGCTCGCTCCTCAGAGCCGAGCGGGTCCTTAGGGCTCCTTTCCAAACATCTCTGCAGAGAGTGAGGGGTCCTCAAATAAGGGGGTCATCAAATAGGACCTTTGCAGAGGGTATCTGCTACAAGGGTTAATCAAGAGAAGAAAAGTTCTGCAGGACTCAAGGTGGTAGCACCGTCCTCAAATCCATGATGTCATTTCTGGCTCGCTTTCCAAGCTTTTAGAATTCAATATAGTGACATTCTGACACAAAGGGACCTGCGACCTTGTGGGGCTGGAGACAGGAGAGCCCTCATTGCTTGTTTCTGCGCTCCCAGGTGGAATACAGCAGAGGTGGATCCAAGGAGTGGTCATCCCTGAGAACTACCAAGAACTCTACTGAGATCAAGAACCTACAGGTCAACACGTTATACATTGTTAGAGTGAGTATTTTCAAAGCTTTAGTTGTTGTTGTACTGGGAATGCTCTCATTATTTTCTGTTAGATGGTCTGGGAACTGAATGTTAACTTTCAACTAACTGATAGAAAGTTTGTTGCTAAAATTCTGCCCTTTACTGTCAACCCACAATGGGAACTTGGCATTTGCACTGGTAATATATATAGTTTCAAGGCCTAAATTCTGCCCCTTGATTTGCTCCTTCATCCAAGAGGCCAGGCTATGTTAAGAAATCTGCGCTATTAATTGCCCATTTCAAAGTCATTGTCATTGCACAAGATCTGGGCCAGAGATAAATTTGCTCCTAACTGTATCACTGGGAAAATAAAAGCTATACATGTGGAGAATGCATACATTTGGGAGACATGGGGTAATTGCAGACTGAACTGATAAGAGTAGGAAATCAAAGTCTGCAAAGTGAACCCTGTTAAATGTACACTCTGCTATTGCCCTCTAACTCGTTCTCTGCCTGCATTACACAATGTTTGCAGTGTGCACTGGTTCAGATTAACTAACCCTCTAATTTGGAAAGGTTGCTGCAGTAACTAGTCGAGGAGTGGGAAACTGGAGTGATACCAAATCCATAACCACCATAAAAGACAAAGGTAAGCATTGCTGTTGTTTTACTTCAGATCAAATTGGATAACATACCAAATCCTCTAAGTATTAGCCTGAAATGTTAGCATCAACAGGCCCACCACCATCTTCTTTCTTTATCCTTCTCTCCTGGGCGTCTTACAATCTTTAGCAACTTTGCTCTACCGTTTCACTTACCTTTACCTGCCTGCAAGCTCAGTGGTGAGTCTGAGCGGCTCGTTGGCTCTTCCTCCGTGCCCTGTGGTGCAAAGGATGGGAATTCTGCCCCTGGAAGTGCATGAGAAACCTGCCCAGAGGACAGGGCCCCAGGTAGATTCCCAGGGAGTTTATTAGGCTAGATGCTACCTTCAGATAGCCAAGGTGCATTACCATTAACTCCTTCAGTGCTTCTGCCTGACAGGACACCTTTCCTTTCCCTTTTAGCTTATGATGGTTTCTGTATTTCATAGAGGCTGGATCTTTAAAAGAGCATGAAGGTTCCCAGGAGCTATCACAGCACCACAGTCATTCACTCACAGACAGCAGATAAATGGAAACAAAATAATAAACCATTTCCCACTGAAATGTTTTTGAAAAGCCTTTTAGGCATCATTTGTATTCATGGCAACTTCTTTATTTTGAAAACTATATTCTGATGTCAGCACTGCCTGCCAGCTAATTTGTCAGATAAAAGTGCATCCTCACAATGTTGACAAAGAGAGGAGAGAAAACAACACGCTAAAATGCATGATTCCTCGTAAGATGAAGTGCATGAATACCTGATTATTAGAGGCAGCTACAGAAGTAGAAAGATCTGTAACACCTATCAGCTCGATTGACATTGGAGCTTTGCAGCTGTCTGTACTGACAGTTCCTGACCTCCCACCGCTGATCATGTGGACCCTAACACAGAGCTGTCCCAGTGAGTTCAGCAGTAAAATACCTACATCTGATCCTCTCTGTGTTCACCCTGTGCCTAGCAAAGCACAGACGTGTCAGGCAGCTTTTAGGTGACTGATCTGAGAAAATAACAACATTACTTTTATATGTCACTGCCTTTCTGTGAGACGTGTGTCTTACAGACGTGCAAGCTTGGCCCACTAGGACTAGGGAAACTCTTTGTCTGATATTTCCTCACCCTTGTGAAAGTCTGTATTCTTATCCTCTCTAAGTATTAAAATAACAGCGGTTTCTTCCCTGCCTTCCAGTCATTCCTCCACCTGTCATACATATCGAGAGCTACAGTGAAGACTCCATAAGTTTCACCCTAAAAATGAATACTAACATCAAGGTAAATTTTTGAATTTTTCTACTAAAACAGCACTTAAGGAAAGGCTGGAGCTGGTAAAACTGTAAATATTGGATGGGATAGATAAGATCACCCACTTAAGTATTGTAGCTACCTTTAAACACTAATTATTTCATATTGATTTATTACTTAATACCCATCAGTGGTCCCAGATACAGTGCTCAGACTTAAAATGGCAAAACTTTCCCTGCATGCAAAAAACAGCTGAAGAGATAGTTTATATTTGTTGCTGCTCGGCAGGTCAGCGGTTATGTAGTGAACATCTACTGGACCTTTGATACACACAGGCAAGAAAAAAGGACTCTGATCATAGAAGGAGAAAAATCGCTCCAAAAAGGTAAACTCTTTACATGTAAAATTTCTATGTTTGAGTCAAATTAGAGGGGGAGTTTTTGGTGAAGGCTGTAGGCTTAGTCTCACCAATCTCTCTCCTTCCTCAGTGGCTAACCTGACAGCGCACACTCCCTACGAAATCTCTGTGTGGGCTAGGACAGAGCTGGGCGACAGCCCCCTGTCCTTTGCACGCGTTGTGACCAGCGGGACGAGACCTGTGTCCCCAAGTCTCAAAGCCAAGGCCATCAACCAGACCGCGGTGGAGTGCAACTGGACCGGACCGAGGAACGTTGTAAGCTGCCGATCCTCTTTTCTCAATCGTTAGGAAAGGATCTAAATCTGAAGCTCAAAACACGAGTAAATCTCCCTGCAGAAGTGGCCGGTGGGATTGAATTCCACAGCCCTGAAAATTTTAAACCTGGAAAAACTGCAGCAAGGAGCTGCTGCCCCATAAGCACAGGCAGAGAAAGCGCTTTTATTGCTTACCTGTTCTCCTCCTCCACAGGTCTACGGCATCTTCTACGCCACGTCTTTCCTAGAGCTCTACAGGAGCCCGCACAACACCACCACCGCTTCTCACAACATCACCGTGATCGTGAACAGAGATGAGCAGTACTTGTTCCTGGTGGGCTCCTCCTCCCTGCAGCATGGGCTGCGTTTCGGTATGGCCAAGCAAAGGCGCAGCGTTAACCACCGCGTCCCCTCTTTAAGGTCCGTGTGATGTCTCCCTACCAAGGACCACCCTCCGACTACGTCGTGGTGAAGATGATCCCGGACAACCGGCTCCCGCCTCGGCACCTCCACTCTGTGCTCACCGCAAAGACATTTGCGGTCATTAAGTGGGAATCGCCCTACGACTCGCCCGACCAGGATATGGTAACGTCTCCGTATGGATTAGTATGAGTTTTGCCCCCTGGTCTGATGTTCTAGCACGATATGAGATTGCTAGCAAGGCTGCAGGAAAGTAAGATTTTCTGTCACTCACTGCGCGTACCCTTTCTCCCCCTCCAGTTATACGCTGTTGCAGTTAAAGATTTAGTAAGAAAAACAGATAAAATCTACAAAGTGAAAACCCGGAACAGCACAGTGGAGTACACCATTAAAAAACTCGAACCAGGAGGCAAATATCACGTTATCGTTCAACTGGGAAACATGAGCAAAGAATCCAGTATGAAAATCAACACAGGTAAAGGAGAAAGTATTACTGCTTGGGTCCTGCAGCATGTCCAGGAGAGGGAATCCCATGCCATTCCTGGATCCCTCTGCTATATCCTGTCGGAGCAGAGGGTTCACACAGTTCTAGCATCACTTATTGATCTCTCACTACCCAAGTGTCCATGCAACTCCCAGCAAAAGCAGTTAGAAATGCAAGCAAGTAAACCAAAACCAGTATTTTGGCACGATGGCCAGGGAATTTTTCTCCTGCCTACATGGAGGTGGGAATGACAACTTTTTTTTGCTGTGTAGAGGGAATGAAATGTTGTTATGGCTCTGCCATAAAACAAAACACTGCCTGCTTACATGCTACAGTGTCCTGTCCTCCAGGACAGCATTTCGTATGCAGAGTATTGTCTCGGTCCCTTAAAAAGTACTGACTTTCCAAGTGACCTCACTGCTTTGTTCGCACTGTAAACCCAATCTGTTTTTCACTTTCTGTCATTTGCAGTTCCCCTGTCTGCACCAGATGCCTTAAAAATAATAACAGAAAATGACCATATTCTGCTGTTTTGGAAGAGTTTAGCACTTAAGGAAAGCAATTTTAATGAAAGCCGGGTAAGTTGCACCCTCATGTCCTCAGTCGTACAGGGGCTTGGACTCTTTCAGACTCTATAAATACATGAGCACGCTCCACACTCCTAAGTGTCCTTGCTAAGCCTCCTATATAGAGCACACTTCAATTCATGTGACAGCTAAGGTGTAAGATCCAGTCGGCTACTTTTGAAGCACATAATTATGCTCTTGAGCAAGGTCAGCTACCACACGTGGGAAGGACTGGAAACGGGCCGCAGCCGCCCAGGTCGGTGAGCGCGCCAGGAGCCTCTGAGAGCTCTTATCATTGAAATTTTGATAGGAAATCTGTGAAATGTTCTCTGTCAGGGACTGGGCGGGTGGAAATCTAAAAAAAAAGGTCTTTGTTGATGGACTCCATTTTTGGGTGGTCACAGGCAGATGCTAAGAACAGAGTGAACCAGAGAGACCGAATATTTCTCTTTAGGCTGGCCAAGGTCAATGCACACTGCCAGGAGGAAGCTTTGCTATTGCTCTCTCAGCCAATAGTCCAAATACATTTCATCAAAGCTAAATTCATGAGCAAAACCAAATTTTGAAGACCTGTCAGAAGCAGCAAACCTGATCTCTGCAGCTCCGTCCAGTTGAGTAATTTGGGATTTGTGCCTTTACTTTCACAACTCTCAGGGTTATGAGATTCACATGTTTGACAGCTTGATGAACATCACGGCTTATCTTGGGAACACCACAGAGAACTTCTTCAAAGTGTCCAACCTGAAGATAGGTCACAACTACTCCTTCACGGTTCAGGCCAGATGTCTGTACAGCGGACAGATGTGCGGGGAGCCAGCCACGCTATTGTACGATGAGCTCGGGACCGGTAAGTCACTAGCTTTTTCTTTCCTCCCGTTTCCTTAATGCAGATTAATGAAAGCTTCAAAAGCTGTTCAGAGAGGAGTTAATAAAATATCATATAGTTGGTCAATGTGGCGTTTGCGTCCTAGCAAGGCAGGCGAGAAGAAATCAGGCGAGAAGAAATCATCGTGCAATCCTAGCAAGGCAGGCGAGAAGAAATCATCGTGCAGTTTCCTGAATGTGAATGTTGTGGCAATTTGGCCATATTCCAGTTGGGTTTGGTGCACGGGACGCTGACCCAGCAGCAGGTAGAGGAATGTGGTTTCAGTTGCAAATGGCACTTCTGTCCCTCCTGGCCTGTAGGTGAAGATTCCTCTGCATCGAAAAGCGGCAGATCCACAGACGTCGCGGCCATCGTGGTACCGATACTGTTCCTGTTGCTCGTGACGCTGGGGATTGGGTTTGTGGTGCTGTACATGAGGCACAGGAGACTGCAGAACAGCTTCACGGCCTTCGCCAACAGCCACTACAGCTCCCGCCTGGGCTCGGCCATCTTCTCCTCGGGTGACGATTTAGGTATGTGACAGCCCATCCCATGCCGTGGATTTTCAGGACAGCCCTAGGGACCTGAAATTAGTGACAGAGCTAACTTCTCTCATCTAAAAGTCAAAATTTGAGAATTTTCATTCTCAAAGACGGGTCATCTTTGGCATGAAATCTCTTAGGATTTGGTCTTGGTCAAAAAATATAACCCTGGCCCAGGAAAAACATTTCTTCACCTAGAGAAGCTCCATTAGTGCAAATGTGTTGAAACTAGGATATCCCTATAACAGAGCTTTGGGTTTGTTTTCCAGGAGATGAGGATGATGAAGCTCCAATGATAACTGGATTTTCAGATGATGTTCCGATGGTCATCGCATGAAGCGCGTTTCTGATTGTAAAAACCAAATGGTGTAAATATTTTATTTGATAAAAATAGTTGATTGTTTATTTTAAAAAGCACTTTGAGTTGCAATACGTTATTTTTATATGGGCCAAAAAATTTTAAAAATTACACTTTGTAGTAATGGACTGTGAATCGCAAACTAGGTTGATTTAGTAACAAATTGTTTTGAGTTAATATTAATTTAGTCTTACAAGGCTATGCTTGCTGGGCATGCTCTTAAGTCTGTGAGATACTTTCCGTTGACTAAATTGGCTATTCATTTTATTTTTCTAAGACAAGAATAAATTTATTTAAAAAGAATTCAGGAGATTATATATGTAGAGAGAGAGAAGTCATATAGTCCCTGAAGGTTTTGCTTTTACTGAAAAAAAATCCTTTGGACTTTGTTTTATATGAAAGTATTTTTGTTGTGTTAATTTATTGGGAAATCTGCTTGAGAACAGATTTCCAAAGTCGTCAGACATTGTACACATTATTGTGTAGAACATGTGCCACTTCATCGTGCAAGGCAGGAGTATTTTGGCATCCCCATCAGTGTTCTTGCCACGATAATAAAAATCCTTATTTTTAAACACTTTTCCCCATTGTTAAAGGACCCACAATCTCTCAGGAAACTGAGACTCAGAGATACCAGGGCTCTAACCGGGAGCTCAAAACCCCCAGACAGCAGCAGGATTTAAGGGCGCACTTCAGTGCTTTGCTAATCTGGGGCCACAGGGCCTAAAACGAGGGGTTCAGGTCACTACAGGCAACTTGAAAGCTAAAAGCAGCCTGGATGGACGAAGGGCAGCAGGCTGTCAGTAAGCTGACCGAAAAATATTGGTCATTAACCATCTTTAAAACACTCATCCCAAAACACACCTTCCAGTGTGATGAGGAAAGCCGCTTTCCCCCATGGAGCATCTTTAAGATGCTCATATGTTGATGGGACAGAAGGGGGAGCCTCCTCTGTGCAAAACTAGAAAAGTGCTTCACTTATGGCTTTTCCACAATCTTGCAGTGGCAATTACTGCAAATTTAAATTCATTGGGTTTACAGCAGGGATCCTGTGCTCCTCCCTTAAAAGTAGCTGCAGTCAGACCTTCCTCTTACATATAAGTAACACATACATATATGTATTCATCACTAGTCATTTTGCATTTACCGTAGACGTAATACTGGCTCCCGAGTCACCAAGTAGAAATGTCTGGTTACCGCTGTCTAGGTTTTTTTGCAATAACAAAATGTGAATCTCGCCATGAACCCAACTCCTTGCCAGGCCAGAGCGGGGCTGGGAGGGGATGGTCATGGCTCACGCCTCGCCATACTCGATATATGCAAAGCCCCATAGTGAAATGCAACACTCTGTCTTCTCTTTTTTTTTTGTTTAAACCAAAAGTATTTTTGCTGTGTAAATGAAATTATACTTGCAGTCTTCCTACAGATGAAACAAGAAGGGCCAACTATGTTTTGATACATGACTGATCCATTTAATTTCACTTACAGAAAATATATAAAGCAGTTGAAGTTCTGTACGGTTTGATACACTATAGAAATACTAAGTCTATTTTCAATTACTGGTGTCTTTGATCCCGGTGACAACTTTTCCGCCTGAAACTGGGACCAAACTAGAATCAGATTTTATAGATAGCAGTGATCTTGCAGAGCTGCAACGTTTTTACCTGGTTAGACGGTCAGGTGCTGCTGTTCTGGGGTAAAATTTTTGAGTAAATCGGCACTCCATGGCATAACTCATTTTTTTCAGGAATAACAGATACATGCAGAGAGATCAGAATCCGACCCAGAGGCAAAACTAATTCAAGCTATGTAAATGAAAAAAAAAATGATATATTTCTGTAGGAGATAAAGCCTAAACGCCAAGTTAAAGAGTGCTGAACCTCTTCCTCCTTAAGCAAGTGTTTCTAGCACAGGGATTCCGCTGAGTATCCCAGAAGAGAGTGCTGATATTGGTTAAATTTTGCTGCTTTGCTCCCTGGTGTAAGTCCTGCTTGAGCAAGGCAAGGAGAATTTAGCCTGTACCATGTCTCTATGTGGAAGGCAGATAGCAAAGACTTAAAGCTTATAACCATGGTAATATTCCACAGCAATGCTTTGCTTGGATGTTTTCAAACACCAGCAGGGTGACAGGTCACCTCTGGTCACTCTGAAAGGTCCCTTTGTGCTCGAGGCTCAGCAACACTTGCACAGAGCTAAGACTATTGCCAGGGAAACGTTTGGTCGGAATATTATATTCAAGAAAAAGCTCCCAAAACAGTGCCTCAGTAATGCAACGTGGGTGGAACGGAACTGCAGATGTGGTGCAGACCTGAGCCCAGCTTGGGTGGACAGCGCTGCAGCCCCTGCCCTCCCAAACCTGCTCCTCACTGCAAAAAGTACCACTGTGCTCTCAGCAAAGCATCTTTACAGGGCTAACTGCATTTTATATAGAGATAGAAAAAATCTAGGCCCCAGGCAGGGGGTGAGCAGAACGGGTGCAGTCCTGGGTAAATTGTATATTTTTATGAAGTTTTGAAGCACGGAATCTTGTTCACAGAGATGTATATGGGGTGGGAGGGCTCTCTTGTACATATGGTACATGGACGTGGTTGTATATTTTGTTCTTGTTTCGTTTCAGTAGCTTTATGCAATGTGACATGAGTTGTTCTCCAAGTTTTGGGGGGTGACTAGGGCTTACCTCACCGGGACACAGTGAAACCCCTGGATCCATGAGGCAAAAGAAAGAGCAGAGGATGATTCTTGCTACTGGAGTCCATTCTAGATTTCCCTGCAGGGGCAGGCTGCCATTCTTAAGTCCATTTGAAGAGAGGACTAAGGTTGCACCTTAAAACCTTAGGGGAAAACAGTGCACGCAGGGCTTTAATCGGAGCCATGGCTGGTGTGCTCCAAGCTCACGCCCTGCCATAACTTGCTCGTGGGCCTGGATCTTGCCGCAGTACTAGCAGCAGAGATCAGCAGATTTAGAACTGGGAAAAGACTGCTTTTCTTGGGCAGGGACCAAGTTTCATCTACATATATGCAAGCACTTTGCATTCGGAAAAAAGGAGCCTACGAGTGCAAGCAAGGACTTGCCATGAAACTTGTGGGCATCCATGCAATCTTGTGGCCTCGTGACACTGATGGGCCTTTGCATTTGCAGGCTGCTCAGGTCCCTAAGACAACTAACAGGGTTGGAACATTTACTATCCTCTTCTTTGAGACCCATAAATCCCCTTCTTTTAGACTCATCAAGAGAGGAAATCCCTCCTGAGCAGGTAACCTGCAGGAGGCATGCATGAGGTCACAAGGACAGAGAAGTATGTAAAGAAAGACTTAACTAATTTGCCAGTGGAAACGTAAAACTGTGTTTGTAAAGACCAGAATAACATCTTCCTAAACAAATTTCAAGCCTTCTTCAAAAGGACTTCAGAGTGGAAGCGGTGTAATTTGAGTCAGTGACCCATGGATCCAGGCAGCATCTTCATTTCTGGTACTAGCTGTCACAGTTATAACTAATAACTCAAAATTTGCAGCCAGTCTCTAAAGATTATTTTAGAGTTAGCATCAGCTTCTAATCTGGTTCCTTAAGTGAAGTTTAATAATATACCATTTGAGTATCTATTCTGTGTCTTTTTTTTTTCTCCAGTCACTGATTTCTGCTATGTTGTTATTGCACAGTTTTGAAGGAATTTTTTTGTCTGTCAGATTTTTTTCACTTAATAATTATAATAAAAAAAAATTAACTGGGTAAACAAAACTTCTGGTTTCCAAAATAATTACCTACCCTCCATGTGCCTAGTGCAATAAAAATGTGAAGTTATTTCCGAACTGTATTTGATTTATGTTTTACATCAGAAGGATCCGTTAAATGACGGCAGAGCAGAATTTTTTTTAGGAGGAGCAGCAGAGTCCGCTAAAAAGGTGCAATAGCATCCTTAATTCGATAAGGCATCTCAGTAGTTTTTGGTCCTTTCCTTCAAGGTCAGCACTAGTGACTAAGCAACACCCAAACATTCAGAGTTCTTGCAGACTTTCATCCTATTGCTTGCACGGTGACATCTCCAGCACTCACCCACTTGCCATCCTCATCATACATCATTGTCCTGCCAAAATTTACTTCCACAACAACGCTGCTCACGTGCCACACGTGCGGTTTGCGCGTTGCTGTTTGAAACAACGCCTGTACGTACACCTGACACTCGTACCCGCAGAGAGAGGTAACGAGCAGGCAGCCACCTCTTCACACATACCTCATTTTTTAGTCTACATAATTGGAAAGGCAACACTTGAGCTCAGTGGACATAATTGAGGCGTGCAAGCATCTTAAGTGTTGCACTTCATTAATGTTTAGCTTAAGGCATCGTTAACAAACAGCCATTCCTTCCTCCCCGTTGCCCCCTTCGTCATGAATGAAGCTCATTTTCCTCTTTTGTGGCTGAAACAGATTGCTCCCCCCGGAGGTACGAGAAGTCACACCTCTCATTCCTATGCACCTACTTTGGTTTTAAGTAGTCAGCGCAACTCTGTAGCCTGAGCTCTACGTCTCAGGGAGGAAAGCTTAGTGCCATACAAAAGATTTCTGAGAGAAGAAATGTGTTTAGCCCTTTTCTCCTGAGAAGACTTGCAGGTTTTTCTAACAGGAAAGCCTTCCCCCTAACTATCCACGGCCTTCATCAGAGTTGTATTTATCAAGTTATCTTCTGATCAGCTGATGAAACGCTGCTCTAAGAACATAAGAGACGTAGTGTCTACTACCCATACAGCCCCACTGACAAGCTTATCCTCCAGGCCACGTGTGGGCTTTATATCAAAAACCCAGTGCCCTTCACTTCATCCTCATCATCAGACACCAGCTAAAAAATTACATGTGCAGATGTAGCTCCTTTGAAAGTCATTCTGCCTTAGATTTTTTCTGCTGACTATTGCCTGATTTTATATTTTCCTCCCCTCTATATTCTTATGGGCCTTTCTTATTATCTTGCTTCTTAACACAGTAAGCTCTTGAAATACAAGAAAATTTCTCGTAGAGTCGCTGCAGTATCTGTGTGAATCTTGCAAGACTCTGCTCTGGTGTGGACCCGCTTCCCAGCGCGGGTTAAGCATTTCACAAAACAGACACGCTGTGATGTGGAGGGAGAGCAGCTGAAGACCTGGCTCGCTGCACCTCCTTGGAGCAGGCAATCGGAGCGCCTGGTGCCAGACTCCTGAACGCTCCTGTTTAGCCTTTCTCGGCAGGAAGGATGAAACAGCTAAGGATATTTCACAGCAGAACTCAAGCTGCAATTTAGGAGGAAAGAGCCAGGAGCTTCCAGAGCCCAGTCCTTGCCATAAGTAGGGAAGACAGGGGCTGTGGGAAGGAAAGACTCATGCTAACCATCAAAAGCTTGGCCTCTGCCATGGACCTCTCAACCTGCCAAATGTGGGATGCAAGAAAAATGGCAGCCCAGGGCTCTTCCAGGATGTGTGGTTTATTTCTTCCCTGTAAATTACAGGCATTCAGAAGCCCACATCCCCCAGATCCTCGTAGCTGAGGCCACACGATTCCCGGCAGATTTGCTTTCTGCAGGCCTGTCGAGCTTAGCCAGGAGCTACAAAGATCTCAGATCTAGCAAGAGCACCTGTGTGGGACGGGGCTGAGAAAAACCCTGCTGCTCTCCAGCACGATGGAGGAGGATGAAGGCAGAACAAGATGGTGGTCTGGGAAGGCAGGCCGGGAACCGAGGCAGGGAACGGGAATGCCAGCTGCACACCAGTTAATTAAACACATCCTGAAGCTTCCTATGGCCTAATGCTGTCTGCGCATCAAGGAACCTCTTTGCAACCAAAGACCTCAATAGACTTGACAAACCGTAATAAAATTAACCTTGCTGGATACCCAGACGGCAGGAAATTGAGAGATCCCTCTGGGGAGGAATTTGGTACCAAAATGTGCGAGCCCGCTCTGCCAGAGACACCACGGCCTGCTGCTCAGGGAACCCGTTTTGGGGAGAACCCGGCCCAAAGGGATACGCTGCCTTGGCTCGCGGGGTCCTGCAACCCGCATGCAGTAGATGGCAGCAGAAGCTTTGCTCACCGCCGCCCACATGGACACGCATTTCCTTCGCCTTTCCCTTTCCTTTTTTTTTTTTTTTTTTTTTTTTTTTCACTTTTTACTTTTGGTGGCCTCAAAAATTATTAGTTCCAGATGAGCTCCTGCCATCGCAACGGGCTGTTTAACCCGCTCGGCACCGTGCACGTTGCAGGGCAGCGTTGCCCCCCGTGCAAGCCCGCGCATCGGAGGTGGATTTTCCGGGCACACCTGGTGCACCGCGCTGCAAGGGGGCCATGGGGAAGGGGAGGACGCTAACAGCCAAACCAGGGGGTATTTGGGTTTATAAGGACGAAGCGCTCCGAGTCACGTCTGGACACAAACCACGCACTGTCTCTGGCAACTCAAGCAACTGCTCCATGCTCGTCTTTTGCTAGAATTACCTATATTTTTGCATTATATTAGGTTTACCTCCCTCCACCTTCCAGGCCTATTAAAATTGGCTAAGGAGAAACATTATACACATACGTAGTTGCGTTAACTATCTGCGCTCTTTCAACATCTCACATTTTGCGCCTTGCGTGGATTACGTATTCAGCAATGATAATCAAAACGACCCGATTTCCCTCCCACTGGAATAATAAGCACATCCTATATAAACAAGTTGCATGTAAGAGGTACATTAAATGATTTGTTTCTCGTAAATGAAGACAGCCATAGCAAAACACATGGAAAATTTCATGTTGTTTGCTTTTGTAATTCACTGTACACACAGCCTTTAATCCGAGGATCTCGAAGTGCTCTACGCAGTTTAATTAAGCCCCACCACTGCCATGCTGGGGGAGTACATTAAGTGTTATTATGCTGATTCTTTACAGATGGGTAAACTCAGGGACGGAGCAGTGGTGCCAAACTCCCCTCTCGCCAGGCAGAATCGTTCCCTACGGCTCTTCCACGCAGCCTTTCCAGCAGCGGCTGGAGGATATAAGAGCTTCCAAGCCCAAACACGCACAGAAACCTGTCGTGGCTGAAGGCTGCACCCCCGGGTACCGGCAGGAAGTCCAACAGGTCCCTGCAACAGGTTAAATGGCAAAGCTGTGCACGGATGCGACCTCGACGCTGGGTCAGGAGCAAGGCTCTGTCCCCAGATTGAACCTGCCGGGCCCCAGATCTGCACTTTCATGGCCAAGTGGGAGGCAGCAAGACAAGCAGCCTGGCTCCCAAAGCTCATTTTTCCACAGCATCCTCTCCTGCGGATCTGCATGGGAACCCCTTGCACTGCCAAAGCGGCAGGACAGATGAAGGGGAACCCGCTCGGCAGTGATACCCATCACGGCACACTGCAATGAGGCCTGTAACCCCTTGCCCCTCATCCACTTGAGGTCCTGACTTCCTCGTGACCTTGGGAATGGGCTAGCGAGCGGCTCTGGCCGAGGGATGAATAGGTACTGAAGCAATCCAGCCTTTCCCAACATTGTTTCAACCTTGGCTGCTTATCAGATTCCCATCTCTCCCTTTTCCTTGTTCCTTCCCCCTCTTCTTCGCAGGCTCTTTGTTCTCCTGCTTACAGTAGCATCGATTTACTGTCAGCCAGCAGCACGGCCTCGAGTTCCTGCGCGTACAGGAGAAATGCAGGCGCCCACGTGCTGCCCCTCACATCCCGCACGCAGTCGCAGCGGGCGCTCAGGCTGCTGCCCTCGCCCCACAGCATGCCTGTGCCCACAACCCTGCTGCACCGTGGGGCAAACATCATTAGGCAACGTGGCCGCGCTCAAAGGGGACCACAAGAACGTGGGTGACAGCAAGGAACCCGCTTCTCCACACTGGCGGTCAGAGCAGGTCTTCTTTCTGCTCGTTAGGAGATGGTTTCCTACTATAATTTAGTACAACTCCTCCCCTCTTGCCCAAACGTACATGCTACACTTTGCAGTGAGAGTCAATTTGTCCTCCAGCACTTCAAATATCAAATATCTGTCTTCTTCAGATGCACAAGAGAGCCTGGACCATCACTCGGCTTGGCTGCTTGCAAGCCTGCAGCAAAACCTCTTGCTGCTCCTGCCCCCTGGATGCTAAACCCCATGCTTTCTGGGTGCCTTGTTCAGAATCAAGGCACTCGGTTTTGCTCTGGTTCCAGTTTCCAAACGCTCCCTCTCTTGCCGTTGCTTTCACCCGCTTTTGTTCAACTCTCCATCAAAAGGAGGGCTCTACAGGCGTGACAGCTCCCTAAATATATCACACTGTCCACAGGAAAAAACGGCAGAGTGGAAAGAGGGATGGATACCGTTGGCCCCTGGGACAGACGAGGGAAGATGGCAGATAACTGCTCTTTATTGTGCCCCGGGTTCACCTTAAGATGAAGGAAGCGATAAGATTTCAATTAATGTCACTTCAGATTCCCTGCAAGCTGTCCTGCTCCTTTCCCCTCTCCGAAACCGAGGTCCTCAATGGCGCTTTTGTAGCCCCCCAAACGGGCCGCACGCTCACCTGGCAACACTAATTGAGAGCAGATGATGAGCCCCCCGCCAAGCCCCCTCACCATCTATTACGGGGTGGGAGAGATAGCACACTTCATTACGGAGCGCCGGATCGCCTTCCGGCTCGCCCAGGAATGAACCGAGCAGCTCTGCTAATCAGCTTAAACCCATCAAGGTATCGGAGCAGAGTTCCTGGGTAATACCTTACAGAGAGGTTCTTTCCTGGACAACTGCCCCCAAAAGAAGGGTCAGGAAAGCTGCATGGGCAATTTTGCATACTAGAAGCATTCTGGTTTTGCTCTTATTTTATCTAACATTAGCAGAAAGAATTGAATCACCCGGAACAAACACCCAAATCTTGAAAATGATCAGACCGATCACGTTAGCTTTTCAACATGCCTCCTTATTAGTATCTGCTGGCAAAACATCTCATTCTTTTTGAGCCCTTTTGGAAAACACAAGTTTCCTGCAAAGAAGGATTCCTGGGTTTCACAGACTTGCTAACTCAAATAAACAGATCTTTTTTTCCTCTTTGCGAGCAGCAGCGAGAAAGCTGACAAAGCCCCACAAAAGAAACGCGCACAGCCGGAACCCATTCCTCTTCCCACCCCGATACGCTCCCATTTATTGTCCCCAAGAGCCTCCATTTTAGCTCGTCTCCTACATAGACGCGCGAGGTTTCCATATGTTCTTTAAGGCAGCGGTCCGGTCACGCCGCGGGCCCGGGGAGGGGGCAGTGGCCAAGCCCAGGGTCCTGGGACAGGACGGATGCGCCCAGCAGCGTCGCGTTGCAACAGCCGTCACCAAGGTGCGAAGCGTTCGGGGAGGGGAAGGACGCTGGGAAGCGGTTACGGACCTGCAATGTGCGAAGCCCTTTCGGATTTAATGAAGCACAACGTGCCTTTTGTTTTGGCTGTGCATATTTTGTACCCTAACGTGTGTTTACTTAGTCTCACTAATTGTCTTTTTCTGGTTTCCTCCCCGCTCGCAGCGCGCGGCCGGCTGGGCGCTCAGCGCAACAAAGACGGCGAGAGGAGGGACGCGCTGGGGCCCGGAGAAACCTCGTCTTCCAGGAGCCAGAGAGTTATTTTTCTCATGCTCACTCCTCCAGGCTAATATAGGAAAATAACATGGGAAAAAAACCCTTCCAGTAGCTCCAGTTGTAAGAGCAGAAGCAACCCACGCCAATCCCCAGTACGCAGGTCTCTGGCTTAGCAACACTCCTGTATGGAGCACAGCAAAACAGCTAGAAATGCACAGTCTTCCACCTGGAGACCTGCATTTCCATGTGAATCCCTTTGTGCTACTAAGAGTTACTCTGCTTGTTTATTTATTTTTAATAATAAACACGGGGAGAGCTCTCCAGTAGGCAGAGGTTGGCAAGGGCTTGAGCCAAGACGTGCAACTCGCATGCAGTGCTTTGCACCCAGGTTTTCCTGCCTTTCATGAAAGGCTTCACAATTCCTCACCCAAAGGTCGATTGGGATTTCCCCCCCACCTTTTTTTTTTTTTTCTTTTTTCCTTTTTTTATGATGAAAAGGTTTCAGGACAGGAAAGCCATTTCCTGTCCAGACCAGACACCGACTTCCTGTGCGCTTTCAAGCAGATCGTGTAATCTTATTCCCCGATTTGTAAGATGAAGATGATCGACTGCCTTTGTGTGCGCGGCCTCTCCGGAGCGCCGGCACGTGACCCGCGCTCACGCAGCGCCGCAGCAACGCTCCCAAATAACGGAGCGGAGCGGGATCTGCAGCCGCAGCAACGCTCCC